TTTGCTCTTTGGGAATCGAAAATACTTAATATTGGTCCCTTTTGTCACTCTGTTGTAATTATCACAACCAAAAACCGCACAACCAGGCATTTTTAGTTATATACCTACCTATTCGTATTTTTGTTTAATTATTGAAGCTTCGAATACGACACTAAATTGACAAAAGCTAATTAAAAATGTTTGAAAACCACTCTTGACAATAATTTCGTAATAATTCTTAAACTTCACAGCACAACAGAGAACTTGTGAGAAATTCAAATTGAATTTAGGCAAGTCTACGAAGTTACAACCCCGATATGCTTCGCACTTACGTCATCTGCGTAACTGGACGCGTTTGGAACTAACGAGTAGCATACCGTTATGAATCTATCGTGCTTGTTATATAAAAATCACCTATACTCAGTGATGTTCAGATGTATTAGAGCGTTAGCCGTTGCTGGGAGAGTGTCAATACTTGATTCAAAAGAATATGATATAGTTCTAGAATAAAATCTAAAAAATTAGTTACTTTATAGAATATTTTAAAAGATCATAGTTACATATTACATGGACTCTATTGAATAAACTAGAGGGTCTTCCAACAGGGACTACATCTGTCAAATTAGTTGTCATTTATTCAGTCAGTTTATTCAGTCAGTCTGCCAAATCACCATGGATGGATATATCATTCAACAACATGTGCAAATAATGAAATTGTTATTGTTTTATCAAAATGGGTGTTCTGTTCGGCTACGTGTTCTGCTACGTACCGCGCGCACCTCCCATTTTACGGTCGACATAATTGTCCTACCGAAAGGAATATTCGAAATGTGGTGGATGAATTTCCACCACATGTCCACATATCTATTTTATTATTTTTTTGCGCGATAACAATCAACGTGCTGCGCGGTTTCATTCCGTAGCACGGAACACGACTATGCTCGAAAGATGGCAGGAATGGTGGCAAGGAGAAGCAGATACAGGACTGTGGATGCGTAGACTTATCCCGGATATAGCTCCCTGGTTTTCGAGGAAGCATGGTGATACCACGTACCACCTGACACAGCTACTAACAGGGCACGGGTGCTTCCAGACTCACCGCAAACGCTTCCATGTAAGCAATAGCGACTCATGCATATACTGCGAGGAAGGTGACACCGTCGAACATACATTCTTCAAAAGAAAAAACTAATCAATAGAGTTTATTCTATGATTTCCACTATAAGGGCTTAACAAAAACTGCGACACGTGTTTCCCTATACAATAGCTTCTTCAAGCATAAGAAGCTATGCAGTTATGCTTAAAGAAGCTGTTGTATAGCGAAACACGTGTCGCGGTTTTTGTAAAACCCTTATAGTGGAAATCATGGAATAAACGCTATTGATTAGTTTTTTAAATATGGATTTTCATCAAGTATCGGCCAGTTCTATTCAGATACATTCTTCACCTGTATGAGATGGCATCAAAAAAGACAAGAAGTGGAAACGGTCAAAGGTCAACTAACTTCAGACAACATAATAAACAAGATGCTGGAGGATGCAGAAATTTGGACTAAGATAAGCTCCCTGGCCAAATACATAATTGACACGAAGGAGAGAGACATCAGGGTGAGAGAAAATAGACAGCAATGAGGAAAAAAATTAAGAACAATTACCATCCTCTTTCTGAAGTAATGCCCCAAAGCAGTTCCAGAAAGAGCCACTTGAATGCTGAAGAGGGGTTTTAGTGGGTAGGTAGGCTGTGACAAAGTCATGGAGTCCCACACTTCGAGCAGAAGTGTTCCCCTCAGTAAAAAACAGTCCTCAAAGCCATCATAACCCATGCCATCGGTCAAATTCAGCCTGATTTATGCACCAGTTATGGAAAATTAGACGTTTCGGATGTGCTCCACTCAGAGCGCCGTGGCGGACATTTGAACGATGTTATATTTCATACATATTGTCTAAAAAGTATAAAACTGTCCACATATCTATTTTGTTTTTTTTTTGCGCGATAACAATCAACGTGCTGCGCAGTTTCATTCCGTAACACGGAATGAAACCGGTGATCGGCGATTGATGTCGAAATTTCGCTCTGCAACTGATTGCCTTGGGGAGCCTTGATTATCTTCGATATTCGAGGATTGAGTTCTCTATCGATTCCTTATAAAGTGTTTTGATAAGGGAAGATCACATCGACCAGGCAACGCCGACCCGCCAGCGAGTGTGTGCGAAACGATGAAGCGCCTTTTTTCTATCGTCATGTTTTTACATGGAAATTTTGTGTTCAAATTCAGACTAGAATGTTTCATCCAGTTTTGAATAGAATTAGTAAAAAGCAATAAAATCCAAACATTTGAAAGAATATTAACACAATTATATTATTTCCACTCTGCTTGCTTTCCTGTTTGGAAAATCCTCAATATACTAAATCTATTCAACAACCAAAGCAATACAAACAACGATACATTCGTGATAAATGCATGATCAATACGCACATTTGCATTTATTGGGTAAAATAAACAAGTCTTCTTGCGCTGACCAATCAGATTCAACTGTAATTGGCTGGCGGAATTCATTGTTTCAGGTAAAATGAGAAATAATGATTATTATAATTGTTTGAAAATGTCCTTATAGGACAAAACTGCAGTAGCAACATTAGTTACAAATGAAAATGGTGAAAAAACATAGAAAATTTTATTTTCCATTTTTCATGATAATCTCCTACCACGTAGTAACGGCTACATCCATTAATTCATTGTTACAGGTATATTGCTACTGTTTCGGAATGGTCAGTTACGTTTTAACGCCTGTGATGTGTACATATACAGATATTGTGTGTCCTTACAGATAAAAAACTACACTCTTCATATGAGAATCATCTCATTATAATCTCAATAAACCACGTATCTTTGTGAACAAGATAACTTGTTATTATTATGTGATATCATTCGAATGAAAAGAAACGCTTCTCCTGTTTCAACTATAACAAAATAATTTCCTTTTCAGGAGAAAGTGTCACATAGGAAGCGAAACCGGTTTTGTCCTCGACGCCTTGTTGGCCTTCGAGTCGGAGAAAACTGACGATTATCATAAGGAAATGGCATATCTTTTGAGAATTCGTTTGTATAGGAACATAGTTCCGAAACTAGAAGATATATGTGTAATTGTTTTAGACAACGCTCCATATCATTCCAGAAAAGCTGAAGAAATTTCTACTACAGCCATAAGAAACATGAAATTCAAGAGTGGATGCGTTTGAAAATTATATTATTCGAAGATAACACGGTAGAAGCAGAACTTTTAAGGATAGTGAATTAACATAAAACCAAATATAATAAATACATTGTTGACGAAATTTCTAAAGCACATAATGAATAGTTGGTATTACGTCTTCCCCTTCATCACTGCGAGCTAAGCCCAATAGAGCTTATTTGGGAGCACATAAAACACCATACTTGTGATGCACTGTTTGGAACATTTGGTGTAGTAATGAATATTTCTGGAGTTTAATCCCAACACTAAACCTCGACACGTGTTTCAATCACCAAATGATCATCTTCAAGAGGTAGATTAAATGTGTCGAGGTGTTAAAAATAACGGTTCCATGTTTGGATAAAACTCCATAATATTCATAAAAAACTATATCGACAAAAAACAATACTTTTGAATTTTACGATCTTGAAAATATTTTTGAAATGTTTAATAGAGCTGTTTCGTCTCTTTCCGCTGAAAACTGAAATAATTGCGTAGGGCATGTAAAAGATGAAGTAGAAATGAAAATTTTAAGATTACTCCATCTAATGGATGATTTAGTTGACATAAAGCCGTTGATAATTATTTTTAATGATGATTCTTCTAGTAGCAATTCTTCAGAATCGGTAATCGGTCTAAAATGGCAAAAGGATTTATTATTTTTTCAAATTCATACGCTAAAACGTCATTTTGAAATCAAAAATTATTTTTCCGTTTGTTCTGCTGAAATAAAATGACCCCATTTTTTGTAGTTCATTTAATGTTAAATACACAAAATTGTTTTTGTTTTCTCAATTTGTTAAACTTCTATACCCAACAACATATTATTTAAAAAAAAATGGTTATTCCTTATAGCCACTCTATACACGCAGCCTTGTCTAGGAGATCACGTTCATTATACATGATAATGTTTTGGAGCTATCTGTTGCTTGGAAGGACAGAGTTAAGATTCGTGTACATCTATCAGGTGTCCAAGAAGATACAGTACGGATTAACATCTACGAAGTCAGTGAAGAGGGGAAAACAAATTTTGGCAATTATATACGTACCTACCCTTGTACGTATTGCTACAAGTACATGTCCTTACATGTACTTCTTTACGCACTTGCAACTTTTTCACACTTACAGGGGCAGCATCAGAGCTCTGCACCCCAAAATCTTGAGAACCTTTTATCGAAATGTAGCTCATTTTAAGGGCCTGGAAGAAACAAGTACATTTCCGAATGAGAAGAATTTCAATTAATCTGACAAAAAAAAAGTGTTTTCATTTGTGACGCGTTGTAAATTTCATTATTACACGATTTTCTTATTATTCTCATTGAGTACTCTTTGATTGAGTTTTTTATTGACACTGACATTAAAAAAAAATTAATTGAGTTTGTGATATTTTTCATTCATTTCCATATTATTCGCTCAAATAACGACAAGTTGAAATGAATTTATTTCTTTGACGAGCTAATCGAAATTATCATGAGACCGCAAGATTGTCCAATGTTGTTTTTACAGATAGAACAATTTCTTCTAGTTACTTGAAATGTATTTGTTAAAAATTCACTACAATTTCCAGCGTAAAAAACGCAAGACCTGGTCCGGTAAAAACGAGGAGCTTCAAATTGAAGTTTTGGGTACCTAACATTGCTGTTCAACTCTAGCAATCAGTGTGCACAATATCTGTCGCAGTAGATAGGGAAATAAACAATACATGCAATTCTGAAACAGTGTAAATTTTAACCCTTTCCAATCCATTTTGTGCAAGAAGTAAATTAATTTCCACACAACTCAAATACCTTCAACTATATAAATGGTTCTGGTAACAGACAGAACTGCCGATACTGGATTGATTGAAATCCATGATGGATTGGAGACGCCCATTCATAATTCATGGTAATTGGTTCTTTTTTATCGACATATCGCTTATACTTGAAACTTTCAGAAGAAGCAACCACACCTGGAAAAGCTGCTATTGAAAATGATGCTTTCGATTATGATCCAAATTTTCATCAGAATGGGTCGTCGGATGAGGCGTAGATTGGCCACCAAGTTCCTACGACCTTGCTCCCCTTGACTTCTTCTTAAGGGGTTATGCGAAGCGGCTATTTTCGACAAAACAATCATTCTATCAAAGAACTACGATAACGAATTACAGATGTGTGCACTACTATAACACCAGAACACTGCATGCAGCTGGCATTCTGTAATACTTTTCACCATTTGCTAAATACCTTACGTAATAATACTCGAAAAATTTTTTATCCGAAGAATCACGTAAAAAAGTATGTAGGTTAACTTGTTTACTTGGATTTTATATCAAATAATGTATGGAAAATGCGTTTAAAACGTCTGGCCATAGTCCAGTGTCCTTATTGAAAGAAGTTAATACCAGTGATGATAACGATAGTTGTCTTGGCGATGACAATGGCGTATCCGACACAAACATCATAAAAACCAATAAACAAAAATATAAATATTGCTAGCATAATAGTATGTATAAAGGATGTCCCAGAATTCAGTTAAAAAGCGATATCTCCGTTATTTGTATACCTAGAAAGATAAAACGAAGGCTATCCCAAAAGACATTAGAATTAGGGGTACGGGCTGGTCAACGTATCATCTCTGAGCATATATATCATCAAGATATTGGGTAATCATGTGCGATTTATATGGATGAGCACCATATTGTTGCCATATCATCATTGTTCGCTCGGATAGTGGGATATATTCTAATAGTTCACACAAGATGTTCAGCAGAAAATCTGATTGTAGAGGTCACATTGAAGTACCATTGAAAACATATTGCTCAATGTGCTAGTAATTGTAAAGTCCACCCCACACGATCACACTGCATTTCGATTGAAATGTTTGCCTTTCAATGTGATTGGACCAGTAATGTACGTTGTGTGTGTTGAAATTATTATGAAAACTGCTTCCACTACTTTAGCGTCATCAGGAAATCTGTATTATCATGTACCATAATTTGAAAACACGTTCATGATTAAATCGAAATATCTAGTTAGAAACACTTCGAGATTCTCGGTACATAAGTAGCAAATCATCATATTCGTTGGGGTTCAATAACAAAGGTCAAAGTTTATAAGTCATTGACTATATTTGAATCCGTAATAACTGTACTGGAATAGATGAACTGGCATTAAATTCATTGTGGATAACTGAGTTTTTTGTATATCCGAATGTTTTTTGTGAATTTTTTATGGGAATTTCGGAAGTGGTTCATACCAATATTAACAGTGACAGGAAGATTCAAAAATTCGTGTGTGAATTTTTGGGGATGTCATTTCAAAAATTGAATTTGAGGATAGTTCTTTGAAAGATGATTAGCATCGTTTTGACGTTCAACTCAATACACCTCAACTTCACTGTTCAAGAACTCTTTCATTTGGGGAACTGCGTCTATGTGAAATAAATTTCATGAGAACATTTTGAGAAATGAATTTGACCTCCAGCGAATTGCTACTTTCACACAGGCACCACTCTTGAAGCGGCTCAAGGATTTTTCTTGAGTGCTTGTATTTTGTCCTTAAAAAAATGTCGGGGATGTTCTCAAAAAGACATTTCACCGTCTCTCCCAGCTGACCGATACAAATATGGCTTTATTAACTGAATTATGGGACAAATTTCATGAGAATTATCTACAGTGACCTAGATACGCAAAATGGGACGCAATTGGAAAAACAAAGTTATGTGTAGTTTCTTATAAATTTCAATTCTTACAAAGAATCAGAAGACGATCTCAGTAGAGCATCCTGATGTCTTTCAATACCACCTTCGTTTCATTTTTCTGGCTTTACAAATAACGAAGATATAATTTGTTATCTGAATTCTGGGACACCCTGTACTATACATAATACCCTTTATTATACAGTGTCACCATTAAAGTGTGCACCATATGGTAAACTTTTTTTCGGAAAAGTTTCAATGAAGTTCAACTTCGGCACTTGTTTGTGCTTTAAGTTTAACTTAAAATGATGCGGCCAACTGCGACCCACTGACGTTCAGTGTTTGTCAAATTCAACTTTTTTTTTGAAAAAAATTGAAAAAATGCATTTCTAGATCGAATTTAACAAAAAGTTACTTGAAAACGTTGTGTCTATGGCAATTTTATATCCATATGCCAAATTTTATGCAACTAGGATGAAGTTAACGTTTTGCTTATTTTTGTGAGATATTCCCTTTATTTTAAAAAACAAGTTCGATTAATTGTCATCACTTCATGTATACATAACAAACTCATCATGGAACTTAACTTTTCTGATAAATTTTTACCTATACAGACATTTTTAGAGAGAAATTAAAAATTTGCTATAAAAATTTCAAATGACTGGTGCAAAGTTTCAATCACTTGGCTATTTTCTTAAACAAACCTTTGATTTCGAAAAAGCAGAGGCGACTGAAAAAAATGCAGATTATTTCGATAGAACTATTATCATTATGAATTTTAAACAACAATAATATTATAGAAAATACAAATGGGTACAAAAAATTACTTATTGATCTAAATGAGGTTGTCAAACACTTATAGCCTACATTTCAGTATGTCGTCCTCCACGTTCAATACAAATTATGGTCCTTCTGCATCTGTAACTGCATTTTTAATAAATCAAGGATTTATATTTGCACAGCACTCGCGAATAGTATTTCCCAGATGTTGTATATCAGTAAATGGTCTACTTCGGTACACTTTTTGTTTCAGGTAACTCCACAAGAAAAAGTCTAAAGGCGTGAAGTCGGGTGATCTAGGTGGCCAAATAATGTTCCCAGTTATGTCCAATAACTTTTCCTCTGAACATTTGTTGGAGGGACTGTTTTACAGCAACCGTGTGATGTATTGGTGCGCCATCAAGCTGATACCATAGGTCGTATTTAATATTTAAAGGCATATTATCTAAAACTTTACTAACCGCATTATTTAGAAAATTGCTTAATTATTTGGTCGTTAAGTATCCCACACCATACATTAGTTTTAAAGGGATACTGATCACCACATTCAACTGTGTAATTGGGATTTTCTTGGGCCTACCATCGGCAATTTTGAGAACTCACCGTTCCATTTGAAGAGAACGTTGCCTCATCTGTCCATAAAATTTTATACGGAAAAAAGTTTCCGTAAGAAAGTGTAAAGACACTTTCTTCTCTCTCTCCTTGAAATCAGAATGAAAACTCCAAACGGACATCAAAATCTCGTTCTTTTAATGTGTTAATAAATTTTGGCTAGTAAGGCCAAAATTCATTCTTCAATAAAATGTTTCTAACACTTTCTCTCTTGTAATCGGTATTTTTTATAATATCGGTTATGCTCGTTTGCCCGTGTTCAATAACTTTTAAACAAATGTTAAGTTGTGCCTCCTCATCATATTTACTTGGAATGTGCTTTTTCTTAAATTGATTTGCTACGGATTCTGTTTCTCTGAATTTCGACATTATCCTTGACACAGTAGTATGTTGAACATTTTTTCCTGGATGCCTTTCATTAAAAATGTTAGCTACTTGCCGGTATGGTGTCTTCTCACCACATATCAAAACTATTTCTATTCTTTCCTGAAGAGACATTATTGCAACAATAACTGTTAAAAATTCGACAAGTAAATCAACAACTTGACACTACCATAGCATGCATTTTGTTTGTCAAGACCTACTTAAAAATTTTATTCAACATGATTAAGCATCCTTACCGTTTATGAATAATCTCTAAATACTGAATATTGAAATTTTGTAATTTCAACTCTAGTAATTTTATTGATACTCATTGCAGTTCTTTAGTTGTGTCTGACATGACATGAATTGATGACAATTAACCGAACTTGTTTTTTAAAATAAAGGGGATATCTGTCAAAAATAAGCAAAACGTTAACTTTATCCTAGTTGCATAAAATTTGGCATATGGATATAAAATTGCCATAGACACAACTTTTTCAAGTAACTTTTGTTAAATTCTATCTAGAAATGCACTTTTTCAGTTTTTTTCAAAAAAAAAGTTGAATTTGACAAACACTAACGTCAGTAGGTCGCAGTTGGCCGTATCATTTTAAGTTAAATTAAAAGCACAAAAAAGTGCCGAAGTTAAACTTCATTGAAACTTTTCGAAGAAAAAGTTTCCCATATTGTGCGCACTTTAATGGTGACACTGTATATAATATAGGCTGCTACTTTCAATATCAGCGGTTGCTTGTATAAAATAAAATTAGCCAAGATTATTATTTATCGGAACAGCTATTTGCTAGTGTAAACCCTGTGAAATAGGGAAATCTCCATAGACCCACCCAATTCGCGTCATATCGCATCGGGTTATGGGTTACTTTCATTGTCTCACTCACGGTTTTTGTAATGAAACAGTCGGCTGGTGTAGCGACCGCCACGGTTCTTCTGATTGTAACGCAGAACTCTTAAATATTGGATCAATTCAGATAAAACGAGTATACAATTAAACCAGTTGTGAATATTGTATTGGTAGACTTGATTCCAACTCATCAATTTTAGCTGTACCTCTGAACATTGGATGCGCAATAGATCAGCAACATCGAAGAACTCGTGTATCGAACATCGTGTAAGTGCAGTTGGTGAAGAAATTATTTTGTGAGGTGAACTGTCAGTATTTGTTGTATTTGAAAATGTCTTCGAAAAGAAAACTGAAAAAGTAGGTTCTCAGTGAACAGAGCAGACAAATTGTGAAGTATTGAGATCTATGCAAGCGAAAGCAAGGGCAGATGGAATAAGAATTCCTCTTGTGAAGGTTAGAAGTAATATGCAAGAATATCATGTAAAATTGTAACCGATATTGTATTTTAACTTTGAAGGGTCAAGAACGAGTAGTTGAGGTCATATGGATGTGACTGCTACACTGTACGAGAAACATTTTCAACTCCGAATGAAGAGAGATGTATCAAAAATTATTAATTGTGATGAATGATGCTGATTTGGCAAATTACGCAGATGTATAATCAATTTCCACAGCAAAGAGAAACAATATTCTACGCTTAACTATCATTCGAGATATTGACTATCAGGGTAACAGGGAGTCTTTGCGAAAAAAAATTCATGAACTTGTATTTTGATAGAGGATAGAATTTTCAAATAAAATGCAGACCTATAGTTATCAATTATCGGCTGAGAGTTTATCATTTTTCTCGTAATTCATTCATCATTCATCTTTCAATTATTTTCCACCTCCACAAAAGGAAGAATTGGGGTTTCCGTTCCCTACTGATATTTGTGTAGTGGTCAACAATTGCCAAATTTATTTAGGCCAAATTTTTTTCTCAGTTGTATTTCCTGATAAAAGTTGTTAGTGGACAGTTTCCATCTCTATCGTTCGCGCATCTCAGAGGCACAACTAGATTTGCCAGCTATTACCTATTACCAATACATTTATTTTAAGTACTTACTTTTGCTACCGAATCAGTAAGATATAAAGACATTTTCACGAGGAAATTGATAGAACGTGAAACTCTTTTGGGAAGTCTGCTGAGTACGTCTCCAGTAAAATTGACGAGATGAACAACCCTTCTAGCTGATTCTCTTGTCAACAAAACAATCAACTGTTCCAAATTGTCGGGTCTGGCTTGATTTTCGGGTTCATCTTTACTGAGGTCGACCCAAAGCTCTTTTCCTTTTTTGAATGCCAAAACCGGATCTGTTGTGACCTGAAAAATAATTGAAGTTAGTTCGAACTTATGAAACAAGCAGAAGTTTACAATGCATTGATTTGTACGATTATAATACTTGCACGACAAATTCATAAACTTACCAGTTCTACAACATAGATAAGAACATGAACAGCTTCAGCACTCTGGTGTTTTAATGCCTCAACTTCCGCTATTGTCCTGTGGGTTAATCTTCTTCTCAATTTTCTAGAAAACCGATCTACGTGATGTATTGTTTGTATTGCCTTATCTCTTGGTCCGTTGATGGGCCCATGATTGTCTGAAAAATTTGTTTCCAAAGTTTATATTGCTATAATCAATTTTCATCAATTACAAATAACCAAAAGCCTAAAGATGCATATTCAACGAAAGTCATTTTTTGTGTAGGAAAAAATCAGTTTTTTATCGACCTTTTTTGGGTAATTGTTACCTTCCACAATATGAAAATATATAAAAATTATAATGGAGAACTTTATACAAGGATAGATGGGCAAACTTTTTAGTTTACCTCGATAAGTTACTGCGTAAAAATCAAAGTATTTTTCACAAAGAAAAATCTTCTATTAAGAAATAAAACTTATCTTTTACGTTTCGAAGGCCAAAATCTGCCTCCGTCTTCAGAAATGGATAAAAAATTCGAATATATAAGCAGTTATTTCTTTTTTGATAGCTTATTTCTTTACTTCTTCGACAGATGTCAAAGAAGTTTTGAAACAACTGAAACATTCGATGTAACACAAGGTACTCTCCGATATCCGTTTGTTGCCATTTCGCCACTATCCAAAGTTTTCTTCAAGATGGGTAGCCAAGTACGGTCTATTTATAAGGAGCCATTCGAGATACAATTCTCTCCAGACATGAGAATATACGCTGATTCTTTCAGCTTACGTCTCTTGGAATGAGAATCATTGGTAATCTTTCTTGTCCTATTCCATTCCACCCGATGTTCACCGTCTGATTTTAAAATGTGTTCTGATAATTTTGATCCTGTCAATTGTCTATTTTTCATATAATATCGATCTTCATTCTCACGCACTTTCATTTCTTGTGGTAAAAGTTACATTGGTGAAACCTCAAGACCATTGAAAGTGCGTGAGAATGAACATCGGGATTATATAAAAAATAGACAATTGACAGTATCAAAATTATCAGAACACATATTAAAATCAGACGGTGAACATCGGGTGGAATGGAATAGGACAAGAAAGATTACCAATGAGCCTCATTCTAAGAGACGTAAGCTTAAAGAATCAGCGTATATTCTCATGTCTGGAGAGAATTATATCTCGAATAGCTCCTTAGAAATAGATCGTACTTGGCTACCCATCTTGAAGAAAACTTTGGATAGTGGCGAAATGGCAACAAACTGATATCGGAGAGTACCTTGTATTACATCGAATGTTTCAGTTGTCAATCAACAACATTGACATAATTTCATGTTTCAAAACTTCTTTGACATCTGTCGAAGAAGTAAAGAAATAAGCTATCAAAAAAGGAATAACTGCGTATATATTCGACTTTTTTCTACACTTGTATAAAGTTCTCCATTATAATTTTTATATTTTTTCAGATTGTGGAAGGTAACAATTACCTAAAGATGCATTGCTCAATTATTGAAAGTAAATAACTCCAAACAACTCATTACAGCTGTTCATGATTAATAACTCAATTAGAATAACTCTGACTTACCGTTAATTGTTTGATCATCTTCATCATCAGGCAGATATTTATCAACATATTTTTCAGCCACATCCAGAGCATCGTCCAAAGTATTTGCAGCAAAAGCAGTATATTTACTTGCCAGAACTGTGTTTCCAATTTGTTTTACTGAATCGGCCCTCTTTAAAACTGGCTGGGCTAGTTTTGTACTCACCTCTGTTACGTATTGTTTTGTATTATAATATATCTGAAAATCAACATATATTCATGAATTTGTTGATTCTTTGAAAGAATAGTGTTTACCATTTCCGGTGGTAAATTTATCGAAGGAACCGCTTGCTCTACAATATCAAGACTCTTACACACCACTTTGTCAAGAGATGAAATGGGACCATGCAAGAGAATTATTGCAGGGGATGCAGTTTCCAAAACAGATTGTGCAGATAACTCAGCTGTATCCAATGTCCAGTGAATCAAAGAATTCGCTCCCTGGAAAAATAAAATACTTAAAATTATGTCACAAAAATCTACTCATGTCATCAATGAAATTACCTTTCATTCGCTGATTCGACCAAATATTAGCCATAGAAATCTTGTTTTAATTGAAATTTAAACGAGAATCCTTAACGTAAAATAGTAATTTTATGAATGCATTGAGTGCCTCATCTCATAATGTTATCCAGATTGATGCTGAAGAGGCAATAACGCAAATGTCTTATTCCGAAACATCGGATGTCCACCATTGAGGATGACAGTGTTCTATGTGAGGGAAACTTAACCTCTTTCAGTTAATATATTGTGTAGCAATCCAATGAATGATATCTGATTCGATTCCATAACGAATATTTGGAGTACAAACTTGATAGAAAAAAGTGTTTTTGTATAATTCAATGTTTATATAAAAGTAGTTCTTTCGAAAGTATTTTTCTTTCGTGTAATTTAATGTTTATATGAAAGTAGTTGTTTTGGGTGGTCTTTTTCTTCCAGTGTGTGGCTGAAAGTTACTTTGCATAATCTACACATCTTTGCATAGAGTTAATTTTTTGAAATCGATTGTTTTCTCCCATTCTATGAAAGATTCCCAATTTTGTTTTAAGATGGAGACGTAGAGAGCCAAAACCTTTTTCCCATATATTTTTCATATTTCGTTCTAAATGCGTGACACCCTTCAAAAATTTTTAATGATGACAAAAAGAGTAAAGTATTTCCATAAATAACGGTTAGCACATTCATTTTGATTTCACATAAATCCCTACAAAAGTTGAAATGGATCATATTGTTCAATTGAGATAAGACAACACACTCCATACTTCAGTGTTAGAGTTTTTTCACATTTTCTATCAGCAAAAAGTTCTCATGTTTTGATTCATTGAAATATCGTTTCACAAACAATGGATATTTAACCATATTTTAGGCCGACATATTTTGAGCTCAACTGAACAGTATATTCTCATAATATCTTTTCAAACAAATATCTGACATGATTTTTCAAATTTGCATTACTTATTTATTTATGATTCGATTTCAATAAATCAAACACTAAGTATTAAGTGAAGTTTATCATAACACATTAGTGAAAACGGCATCAAAATCAGTTCAAAACAATCATACCTTCTATGATCTGACAAATTTCTACCGGAACAATACTAATTTTCTGGCTGATAACACAACGAGTTTTGAATTATATCCGACATGCATTTGTTCAAGTCAATCGAGTGATAACATACAGACTAGTGAACCAATACGGTAATGCTGTCAGGTATAGTCGAAGTAACCGGTATTGTGTACACTTAAAGTTGTCGGAACTCTCAAAGGCCAAAAAAGCCAATACAGAGAAATGAAGCCGCTGTCAACTAATCTACATGAACTGAAGAATCATAAAATTAAATTTCAAGTCATGTCACGGTGACGAATAGAATGCGAGGATGGTTATAACAGTCGTGTTGTCAATGTTCATTCAGGAATTGACCGCGATTTGAGTGTTGAAATTCGATATTGGTGCAGTTATAATTAGTTGAATTTTTTATTATTTGTTTGAAATGTAGCGCCCTTGAACAAGTATTAATAGTCTTAACGAGTGTGATGACAACGCAGACTTTTTCCTGTGCAGTGATTCTAATAGCGATGGTGAACAATGCGAAAAAGAGGTACCAGTGAATAAGATTTGGATACATTTGAATATTAAAATACAGAGAGTATGTTTCAATGTATATACAAATGTACATCTCAAATTTGGTTTCGAAGAAAACAAACTATTACAAGTAACATCAGATTTGACCGAAATTCCTTTCTCAACTGTACGTAAAAAAGTCAAAAGCAAACCTTATGAACGCAAGACGCAATGTGATACGGGATTACCAAAATCTTTAGATGTTCATCTAATAAAATCATTGAAAAAACAATATACGACTGTTTCAAAAGAATGAGATTCCTACAACTGAAAGCATAAGGAAGAAATTGAATACTTCAGGCCATAACGTGAGCTGCTGTGACAAAACTCATCAGAATTGGATAAAGAAAGTAAGATTTAGATTTGAAATAATAAACAAACGTCAAGCATTTATGGAAAGCAGAAGAATAGTGGAATTGCGTAACAAATACATAGAACAAATAAATAAATATAGACAAGAACAACGGCAAATTTTCTATTTGGGCGAAACTTTGTATGACACTCACGATACAGTTACGAAAGGGTGGACTAATGGTTCGAGAATGTGTACGCTTAACATGCCTGCAAACAAAGGATAGCGACTAATTATTGTGCATTGCGGAGGAAGTGAAGGGTGGGTTCTAAATTCTTTGAAATTATCTGAAAAAAACTTGAGGACTGCAATAATGACTATCATAAGAACATGAAAGCTAATATTTTTGAGGAATGGTTTGAAAACACATTGATCCCAAATTTGGATGCGAATAGTGTAATAGTTCTTGACAACGATTCCTATCATTAATGACAACTCATCAAAGTACCGAATAAAAATTCGAGGAAAGATGAAATACACAGTTTTTTAATGGATAACAATTTTTATTTTGAAGATAACTATACCAAAAACCAATTACTTGAAGTCTTACATACCAAAACATTTGAGAAAGTGTATGCCCTTCAGAGTATTGCTGAAAAGTATGGACACACCATACTGAGACTTCCCCCTATTTTTGTGTTTTCAATCCCATTGAGTTGATTTGGGGAAAATTGAAACAAAGCATCAGGCATAAAAATAATTTTCCAAAATTTGATAAGAGGGTAATAGAGCTAGTTGAAGAAGAAGTATCTAATATTACCGAAGAAGACTGGCAGAAAAGGATTAAAAAAGTAATTTTAGTTGAAAAAGAATATATAGAGATTCGACACTTCTATATTAATGGTGGAAATAAATACATTATTAATTCAAATGACGACAGTGATAGTGAAACAGAGAACATGGAAAAGAAATTATGTTTATGTGAGTAAGTAGTATTCAGAAGTATTTTCAATTATCACCCTGTTATTTTAATCCCTACTTTTCCACTCACCTATATAAATGAAATATTTATTATATCAGAAATGATTATTATTGAATAATAAAATTGGTTAGCTCTCTAACTATATTATTAAAGGGGAGCTGTTGGAAGGTAGGTTGCACTACTTGAACTGTACTCGACTCATTTCATTGACGCTTTCATGAATCCTCCATCTGAAAGAGTGAAGTAGAGTTACAACAGAACCAGTCTGAAGGTGATTTCGAATGATTTCAGGGAGATCTTGCAAAAATATTTCGTGATAAGGGAATAATCCAATATAAGTTGTGGTATTGGATAGAGAAGTAGGTGATTTCCAGTAGATATTTGCCAGATAATGTTATGTCAGCTGAAGTTGCTGAAATAGCGAGAAGAATACATCTTCAAACAAAAAAAAAACAAAGACATTTCGTAGGGTGCAAATTGTCCACTAATGCCATTAAATATCCCTAATCATTGAGCTTTGAGCAATGTATCCGTTTTCTTTGAAGATATTCACGTATTGTTCAACAATACAAAAACGAATGAAAATTGCAGACGTCATCATTTTCAAATATTCGAAAACATTGACATAGACCAATTCTGTTTGATTCTACAAAACCCCTGGTAACTGGATAAGTACAATTTTACTACTGACCTTAATTTTTGAATAAATGTTTTCTGCGTAATGCCATGCTGATTCAACGATTGGTAAATGGGTGATCCTTGAAACTGATTCCAAATCTTGAAGAATGGCTTGTTTCCTTCTTGAGGTTGGCACTGAAAAAAATCAATAATTTTTTTCAGAAATACATTTTCTCTCATGCAGACCGTATAGAATCGATGAATTGAATAATGTTTTACGATCTCATGTAACCAAATTACTATTGTTTTCGAATAAAATTGAAACTTCTGGCATAGAATAAATCCAAAACAAGCACTTTTTCAAAACACCAAAAGTACCATATTCTACTCGACGTAAATTTCACCAACGGAGTTGGCGGTGACAGGAGATGAAGTTCATAAACTATTTTTGAATATCTTCAATACGGTTAAGTTTATTTATCTCTAAACCTAGTTCCGGCTAGTACTTTGATTTGAGTTTCAGCAAGTACAATTTATGATGATCTAAGCTGAAAGACTGGAAAAAATTTGAATAAATGGAATGTTGTCAGTATCCCGTCGGAAGGCTGTTTGTCTTTGGTAATAGTGTAATACGGTACAAAAAATTAAATATTAAAGTTGAAAAAAATTGAATGTAGCAAGTCGGTGAAAGAATCCCTCTATGTGAGCATTCTTTCATTATTACTTTCATTACTTCTGAAAGACAATATAGTCAATAAACATCTACTCACAAATAAAATTATAGGAATATAAACATCGTAAGCCTTATATCTTCGAACCTGGAAGAACAAGAATGAACTAGTGCTAGCACTGCGGGAACAGGCATCAAGAATAATGCATAATATCACGATAACAAAATGGTTATCAATTGGCAATTTGATGAATATTATATATGATGTTTTTCTCAAATTTTTCCCTGTTAGAGGATGGTTTTTCGTTGTTACAAACAATATCATTAAAGGTTTGTTTGAAGGTGATTGACAATGTTTCATGATAAATTTCACTATTTCGGACTTCCATTGTCTACTATATACAATGATTTGAAATCCCTGAAACAAGTAAAAAAGAATAATTAAAAAAGGATAGCTGAAAATAACAATTATATTAAGCAAAATAAACCTAAAATGAAATAATAGTGAAATAAACTACAAGTTAAAATATAACAATTGAATAAATAAAAACAAAATAAAAATAAAGGAATGAAAAAAGAAAATAAGTCACGTTAGTTTTGATTGTTAGTATCTACAATCGTCTTCGGGTGATGACTGGACGGATTCCTCGGAGAGATGACTATTTATAGGTCGTTCAAATACTTTCACTTATCCCTGCTTTCCATTTTTCGCTTCACTGGTTCCGTGGGAGATGACACTACACGTAAATAGCTAAATCGATATATGACTATAAAAACTTTGCACCTCAGCATTCTTATAAGCTAAGCTACGCTAGACCTTTACTACCGGAAGAATATAAAAAAGTTCAAAAGGTTGTCTGAAGAAGCAACATCAAAGGAGAGTCTACAAGCTCGTAAAGGTCTACAGTAAAACGAGCTTTTGTAAGAAGAGGCCTTTGCTACAACAGCAGAAAGCTAGAGCACTTGCAGATGAACTGTTGGGTTCATGACATGACAGAGGTGCAACATGACATGACATGACAGACATGACAGAGGTGCAACCACCGTGTTTTGAAGTTAGATGACAGATCACACGTGTTTTTGTTTCTCTGCTTGTAATAGTCTAGGAAACTATGAATGCCGGACCTTCATTATTTCACAAATGCTGAAAGTTTCTCAATACATGGTCGATGGGATGGAAACGATGGGATGCTATGATATGAAGTTTGGATCATTGTGGCTTTGACAGATACTAGATAGCAAAAATGTAAACGAACCCCTCCGTTACTGGGTAATTTTGACAGTTCTGGCCAGACAAAGTGTAAGGTTGAATGCGAGTGCCAAGCAAGATATATCCTGGAAGATGCGATTTGAGTTAGGTTTTTGCTGCGCATCTTTCGCACATTCAGTATATATTGAGTGATTCGATATATTTTACAAGGCAATCAATGCCTTTGCCATCATCGGCCAATGCCACGATGATCCAACCTTCAAAGTAGCCACTCGTTCCATATTTATGTTGGGGCCATGCACTGAAAAACTGTCACCTTTTATAAATAATTGGCATTCACAGGCTCTTGCTCTGAATATCATATACTTTTCCGCTTAAAGCCGACTACGTACTATGTGTTCACGAAATTTATTATTTTCATTTTGTTCACTGCTTGGTGCGATATGTTATTTTGAAACTTGTCAAAACTATAATAAAATTGAATTATTCATTCATAAAGTCAGTTGTCAAAATATACTGAAATTAGTCATACATTCAAAGGAATACCACTCAGGCAAAACTCAGGCATAACATATAAAGTTTCAAATCCTTTTTGTGAAATTTAATACTGAAATACTGAAAATAAAGGAAAATTAGTTGCATTATTCAAAATATATATACACATATATACAACATACACAGATGTATACCACATAAATATAATAATAGATAATTGTTTCCTATACACACATATAGTATTGGATTACAAATAAAAGTCATCAATACTGTAGCAGTTCTTTGACAGAAGAAGTTGCTTCAGTCTTGATTTAAAAATGTGTACATTTTCAGAATTTCTGATATTGTCGGGGAGTTTATTGAAAAGTTTGCAGCCTTGAAACTCNATTCTATATATGATTAATATTCCGGAGAGGTACATTATGACATGCCACCCAGCTAATGCCGCGCAGAGAGTTGAAGTAAAACCATCAGGCACCTGTGCAACGTCTTGAAAGATGTCAAGCCAAGTTACTTCACGACGCTTCGATTGTTAGTATCCACAATCGTCTTCAGGTGGTGACTCGATTGTGGATTGTGGATACTAACAATCGAACCGTCGCGTCGTGAAGTGACTTAGCTTGAAATCTTGATTTCAAGTTCATTTTAATTGTTCAATTTTCGATACACTGCTCAATTTTTATTTTGTTGTGATATCATTTGAGGTATTTTTTGCTTAATATAATTGTTTTGGACAACGGAAGTACAAACATATGAAATTCACCATGACATTGACAACCACCTTCAAACACCTTTATTTATATTCAATTGTACACACCCGTCAAAAATGTTTTAGTATAGAATTGTATTTTACTGTGAAGAATATTTAAATGCAAACAATCTATGACGAAGGATTTGCAAAAATTGCCATTTCATAAGATGTATTCGAAAATTAAATTTACAATTTTATATATGTCATATATGTGTATTTTATGTGACTTGTCCAGACACCATGGTGTACTTGTGACCAATAAAACAAATAAATAAATGAATAAAAAAGCTCGTCAGTATCGTCCGAAAATATATTTGTCATGGTGTTATTTCTCAAGTTTCATTGAGTAACTGAAATGAATTAGTGTGATACAATATCAACATAAAGTATTCATGGAAATATGTTCACAACTTCTAGGGATACTCACTCTTTTGGTAGTAAATTTTCTGATGAAAAGAGTACATATCATCACATTTTCTATTTAGAATGAAACTTTTACTATAATGTAAATAATAATCATGATAACTATTTCTTCAAGCAACGATCGAATGAATTAATATTCTAGCGAAATGAATTTCAAAAAAACGCATGAATGTTCAAAAGTAACACGTTTTAATGACATATGAATGAACGAAAAATATTACTTTCATCCTCAGTCTGCACAGAACAACTGACAAAACTTTTAATAACGGCAGTGGGTTTCAGCGGTGTTGAATTTGTTGTTGTCGGCGGCAACTGAGATGTTGTTTTTTTTATATTTCTCCATGTTCGTGTTCGTTTTTTCCTTGAATGGGCCATTTTCTGTGAAAAAACTGTGTTATTCATTATTTTTACAGATAAAAATATACCCATCAACAAGGATCATTCTACGGTATCAGTTGTGATGAAGAAGGGGAAAGTCAACATAATTCAAAATTAATTTTGGTCAAAAACAGAAGACCTAATTAGAAATGTGCACCTGATAATGAAACATATGTTTCAATAGGCTGCAAAAGTTCACTCTATAAAGGTCTCTAGAACGTGCAATGGATTGTAAATAAAAGGATTTAACTGAAATGATTCCATATATAGACAGCTATCATACTGAACTTGCCATGCGAATAGTAAGATTGTTGTCTAGGGAGAAAGAACAACAACTTATTTTTTTGTCGAGTTTACACACTATCAATTAGGTCAAGAGAAACTGACCACCATCTAACAGTAATAATAATTTGAAACGATATAAAGCGACAAATATCAGATCCACTTCAGCATTTTCGAAAAAACCATAAGAACAGATCCGAATTCCATAGGAATTTACAATAAGAAAGTACACTCCCGTGAAAATATTTTTGGTATTGAAAATAATGATCAGAATCAATCTTGAATTATCAGAAAGTTTACAAATGAAATTACATCTAATTTCGTCCCAGAAAGATAAAAAATAGTGAGTGTATTAATCATTCATGATAACCTTATCGATCTCAATACAAGTCATGCTCCTGTGCCTATGTAATCCTAATTAGCCACATGTCCTTCGACAAAAAAAAATAAATATCAAATTGAAGAGGTATAAGAGATAAACTTACCTTCACAGTTCAGATAACGAACTGAAACACTAACTTCATCTCATCAGAGCCTGACGGCTTTCAGATAGAACAAGCTCTTGAATGTTTCAACATCCAACTCAAGTAACCCATATTATATGAGAATGAAACATGCACTAAAAATAAATCTTATCCTCATCATTTTGAATTATCTCTTATTTATGTTCACAGAAAATAAACAAATATTTCGAAGTCCACTTCTTTAACTATTGAAAACTGAACGTTCGAATATACGAGTAGTCCAGTTATCTAATTCATTTCTACCGAGGAAGCTACGGGCGAAGAAGACGCGAAACGTGTCTAGAAATGGAAAATGTTTATGAAATGTATATGCTGTGAAAAATAACTTGAAATTAGATTCAAATACATGAATATTTTTCATTCAAAAGGTAGGATGTCGAAGAAACTCATTCCAGCAAAATTTAAAAATGTTTTATAGCTATCATATAGGTATACCTATTTTCAGTATGGATTCAATTTTACGGCGGCTCGAATATTTGTGAAATTTTGAATTTCGCAGGAAAAGGTTTTTGGTATGGAATATGCATATTGAAAACTCGTAAAAACGCTTGCCAATAGTCCAAGCGCTAAAAATACTCTGCCGCTATTGATATACAATCGAATAAATTAGCGCGCAGTATTATGGATTCATTTTGTCTTCACAAAGAAAAAAATTTCACTAGCAAAATGCTGACCAATACATTCATTCCATTGGAGATCATTAACAATCACTCTTCTGCGGAATGTTTGTTTGAATGTGGTTGGCGAATGTTTCTGTCTTCCGAAGATGCGTTAACAAAATTGAAATTTATGGGAGAAAAGATGAAATGAAGAGATTATTGAAATTATCAAAAATATTTGTGCCAAAAATGTGTCAACAAATTGGGCACTTTCACCTCTCTCCACTCCCCACTCGGTTTCCGGTTTTAAATCACCACACATCGTTTTAAATCACCACACTAGCCTCCATTGTCATTTGAAATTCGAAGCTTCTTCGAACTTTCACTCAAACCATTGTAACGCCATGTGGATGATTTCAGATTCATACAACTAGATGTTGGTAAGTCTATACATTCCAGATTTGCTAATTTCTCCTCACTGGGTATTTCTTTTTGTTCACTAAACCCACTTCTAATTGTTTTTTTAATTCACCAAAATAGTATCACATGGTATTCGGTAAATGCAACTTTTGGAACTGCTGTCCGCCTTTGGTGGCGGTACAGATGATGTTTCTGGATTTTAAGCAGGTGCTGAGACCCAATTATCACCTAATCTGGTCTGGTTTCATTTCGGGACTCTCCATAGTGTTGCAGAGCATGAATACTTATTTCAGGGTTTTGACGATTTCAATCTTGTTACATTGGTGGTGGTTGGATCTATAATTTGAAACTGTCTTGTATTAAATAATTTTCAGTACCCAGATATTTTCTCTTTGTTGTCGGTCGATTTCACCAAAACGACTGCAAACGGAAATTTTGTAAACTTCTTCTCCTTTACAAACTTTTACGGAAATGGTGTCTAGTTATGTATCCTTGCTTTCATACTATAAGGTGTCATCGATGTATCTTAACCAGACTCTGGACTTCGTGTTAGATTTCTCAATAGCAAGAGTTTCAAACCAGTCGATGTAAATATTGGTTGCAACTAGTAAAAGGGACAATGCCATTGGCAGTACTCATTGGTAATCTTGTAATTTCGTTCTATATCCCAGGTCCTCTTTTCCAGATAACTTTCTCTGTATGATTTGAAGTGCTTCTCTGACAGGAACTTTAGTACACAGATTTTCTAGGTCGAAAATAATCAATTGATATCGTTGACTTCGGTTGGCCTCAATTCTCCACAAAAGAACAGGTGTTTTATAACAACGGGTGAATAATTGGATCGAAAGCTATATTTCTAGAACTGATTATTGAATTAAGCAGAATATCATTCTTGAGTAGCCCATGAAAGTGAGGGGCAACAGTGAAGTGATGTCATCGACTACCTCTATTTATTCTAAAAGATGAGTTGATGTTTTTCCAAAGTCTAGTACACCTTCTTCTCTCGATGTGGTATCAACAAGAATTATTTTTTTCTTAGAAGGATCATTACTTCCGGAGATTCAGCCACCCACAATACCTACTTACATTTATTCAACCTCTACAAGGAAAACCCTAATATTTTGTGAAGCATTGAAGGCAATTGAGGCAATTGATGCAAAGAATGGGACCAATAATCAATTCCGACATAGAAACATGTTCACCGTCCTTAAATGAAAAATGTAGGAAATTTCCGAAGTGGGGAAGAAAAAAATAACTTCAATTAAAACTTTCACAAAAATGTGTAGACATTCGAGAGGTCTAACACCTAACACATGAAAGAGTCTTTGTGTATCTCACTTCAACAATGCTAATAAATAAGACATTGACATACACCAATAACATCACTCGTTTTTTGGAAGAGCAAAACTTGGACGTGGTTCACAAAAAAAATATTGATTCGAGAAATTTATTTAAAACAATAAAGATAAAACCTCAGTATCGAATAGATAAGGAGAACATAATTTTACTTATGGTTCTTGCCCAAAAACTAATATTGGTCAAACGGGAAGAACCTTATCCCAAAGATTAAAAGAACATAATAGTGGTTTCCTAAGTGTGAAGACCAATTCTATATTCGCAAACCATTTTTTGGCAGAAGGATATCAATTCAATTACGGCTATGACGTATTATATTTGAAAGAGATAAGTTTGAAACTCAATATTTTGGAATGTTTTGAAATAAATAAATTTAAGAGTTCTGAAAATTCACTAAATGACTAGATAGAATGAAATATTTTTTCCAATGTGGAAATTGTTCATTACATGTCCATTTAATGAGTTGTCTAGATTTCACCTAAACTCAGGTATAATCATTAGTAATCAGATACTCAGAAGATCATAACATTTTTCATGTTTATGAGGGACGAATCAGTGGCAAACAGATCATTACGACGAGACCAATAGGTGACCTCAAAATCAACTGAAAGCTTGAAGAAAAATTGGCATATTCGACCATTGGGCCATTATGAGGGAAACAATTGATTGCCTGAGTAAGAGAACGGGCTATGCCACATAAATTGTTGTATTTTCGGTGTTTATGGTCCTAGATCATGCTGCTACATGTGAACTATAATATGAACTCGTCGGAAAAATCACATATCCACTTCCAAAATAGATAGTGATATATTTGACTTATTCTAATGAAACCTTCATTTTCACAATAAGTTGATTTTGTGGCACAGCCACTTCTCTTACTGAGTCAACCAATTGTGGCACGAAGGGCTAACTGTTCTCAAAGGAAGTCTCTTCCTCAGTGTAATGTAATTCTGTAATGGACGAGTTGAACCTTAGTGGATAGAAAATTGTAATGAACTTGATATACTACCCAATCATCCCAGTACGGGCCAACAAGCCCTGAATATTGTAAAGAGAGAGAGAATAGTCCACCTGAGACCCTATTAAATCTACCTCATTTACATCTTCTGATAACCTGAGACCAGCTCGGTGAATGCACATTCCTGCAATGTGTGCAAAAATGTTCTTGAGACCTAAACTAAGTGAGCGGTTCAGTAATCTTACAGGGTTAGGCCGCACTCTGTTCATTGACGATCCCAAAAAGTGATATCAAGACGGATCTGACAATGTCATGGAGAGAATTATCGACGTCATATATGGGTCTTTAATCAACCGTGGGGGTACCAGAATCTTTGGTATGAGACTAGATCAGGAAATGAGTCAGGGTACTACAGAATATATACCTAGAGAGAAGCACATGGAAAGGAGCACGGTATGAAAGTACCGCCTCAAGAAAGAACTGATTTCAGATATTATAAGGATGAACGCAAAATAATTAAACAACCACTCACGGAAACCATTTCATTGGTTGGTACAATACAACAAAGATACCGGGACGGACAGCCGTTCGTGTTTCATGCGAATGTGAGGAACTAGGTCACACGAGGTACGCACTTCATGAATAATCGAAATCAAGAACAGTGAAATACGAAAAACTTACGAGAAAGAATACATTACAGTTAAGATGGTTGAGGCTTGAGGAGACTTGGAAGAAATGGACAAGTCAGATGATTGAAATGATTTAGGCTCTCGTACTTGAATCGAATTCTCATGATCTTCTCCTGAAGTCAGTTTGCGTGAGGAAGAGATAGTATTTTTCGAAAGAGTATATTTTATTTGTCGATATCCTGCCATTTTCGGTCACACGTCTTGCTGATATATTATAGTTGCTTATCAAAACTCATTGATCTTGATCTGGTATTGATTGTATTCAATTGCCCTCCTGAATTTTTTTGTCTCATTTTCCCTTATTTTTTTAAGCATTCAGTTCATTCGGAGTTACAATTTTAAATAATTTTTTCACTCCTTGGCTTCACACCTACTGATATTTGAAACATTGAAAGTATTAATTTCTAACTTAAAATAAGAGTCATTCAGAAAAATTCTGTAATGATTATGAAACTAGTAAACTGTTTAGATTCACGAGTTAACAATCGCGATTATGCTAAAGTTGACCTTCTTCACTATAAATAACTTTGAAAAAATCTTAATTAGGCTCAAGCTAAATACGATATACAGTTCATAAGTCAACCGTTTCGTCAATATTTACTTTGTGTGAATTTTGAAAATTTAGTCAGAGCGGAAAATTGTTCATCAACAAACGTCCTAATTAAACTTTTTTTTTTGATAAGATTATGACGATATCTTTCATGGAATACAAAATACGTTAAGATGAAACACCAATGAAAAAAATGTGTATTCTCGAGAAAAATAATTTTTATGAAGATGAAAATTCTTCTGCTATTTTCATTATATTGTTATGGTTGCGGAAGATTTCCAAAACTATTTTTTCTCATTTCTGTTTGAGTTACACCTGTGGATTGATATCATCTTCCATTTTATCATTCATGTAGTGTAATTATTATAATACTTTACCAAAGACTCCATCCTTTCCTAGTGCAATCCAATAAAAATTGGAATATCATGGGAAACTCAAGATAAGTTGAGATGAAGTTTCGAGTAGTCTGTTGAGTTTGTTGATAGACTATTTTGAAATCAGGTTTAATGC